TCTACAGTTTTACGCCGCCTTCGAACGCCAAAGGGAATTTATGAGAAGCTTTTTCAAGGCTGAATGTCGAAAGGCAGTCGGATGTTTGGCATTGCCTGCCCAGGGGCGACCACTGCGGAAAGAAACTTTCCCTTCGCTCGGACCAAGGATCGAACCCCCGTCCTACGGTGTGTTAGTACGCACCTCTAACCATTCAGACACAGCTGCCTTACTTGCTTATACATATACAACATAACTTTAAAAATATATATACATACATATGTACATAAACGAGTACAGGTAGACCTCGGTAGACATCAAGCGTACGTGAGCGTTTTTGAGGAGCCTCGGTGTTGAAAAAACTCTGTTATTTTTTCTTGAACGTTGAAAAATACTTTTTAAATTTATTTATAAGGTAACCGAGATTTTTCAAGCGCCACTTCCAAAAATCATATAAGAATGAAGTTTTTATCCTCTCAAATTAATCAGAAAAATTGTAGCATGCCAGAGCGACGCCGTACTACAGAAAATGTGTGTGTCTACGGTATCAATCTGCGCCGGGCATTTCAGTTCAGTTGTTTTCAGCGAAGCAACTATTAAAAAAGCAATCAACATTGAAATTCATCCCAAGTGCGGGCCCCTATGCAATTTTCCACACTCTTCGGGCCGTTTTCTGAAGTAGCCTTCAACTTTAAAGCTCACTTTATATTTAAAGGCTGGATTAAAAATAAAACTATGTGTTAAGTTAAGGATTTCTATTGTCGGTTTATGACGTACGTATGTATGTATGTTTCTTGGTTGCAAACCAATTTAAAATGGATAACAAAATTCTTTACGTTAGACACAATCATAAATTTTAATGCAACTTTTAAACACGGGTTACTTGAGAAAACGGCCCTTATAATATTTTTGATTGCATTTTGTTACGTTGTCAGCATGGTGCATCATTATTTGTATATCTGCCGCACCGAACATCACCTGCTCGCAGCCACTTTTAATTGTCAATATTATACAGTCTCAATAGAACGCCACCCACTCATCATTAAAACTCCACTTCACCTCACTTGCACACTTCGGCGGCAGTGAATTTCTTATTTATACTTTTTCATTGGTAAATATTTGATTTGCTCATTAGCCTCTGATTGCATTTGATAGTCAATTGCAAATGCATTGTATGCGGAATTCGCTTTGTGCCAATAGCTAAGCAATTCACCTATGAATGTGGGGGGGCGAATGCTCGTAAGTGTAAACATTAATGCTCACAAAAATGTGTACATATGTAGGGTTGCATACTAATCAAAATACAAACATACATACATCGCATATTTAAGTAAGTACATGTGTGGGGAAATCTTTTGAGATGGGGACATTTTGCGTACTGGCATATTATTGCCGCCACAAAGCAACTGCACTGCCAACTAACTGGGCCAAATGACTTATTTACTTGCTAATATCGAGATAATCAGGAAATTTCTAGTGCAACCCGCACAAAGTCTAGTTTTTATTAAGGTATAACTTCTTGAGCGGTCAGACCTAAAGCTCTGAGTTTTCGGACGTTTATTTGGAGGTTCTGAGGAATAAAAAGACACGTATTAAACAAATTTGCCAGTTACGAAATGCGGGAAAAGAAGGCTGCTCACAACTGTAACTGAATTTCGCGTATTAGCGGTACTTATTTTACATTTGTGGGTATAAAATATACTTCTCTACTTCTTCATAAGAAGTATCCTAGGTTAGAAGACAACGTGCTAATTATCATTTCTGAAAAACTAAACGGTGCAATACTATTTTTTTAAAGGAACCCAAACGTGACAAAAACGATCCCTGTTCGCCATTTTGCTGTATGGTTAAGTTTAGGGTTTGTCAAACTTCAACACTACCAATGGTTGAGAAGGAATTCGCTGTGTAACTTGTGGTTATTTCCCTAAGGCACAACAAATCAAAGGAAAACAAAAATTCTTAAGCCCTGGTGTTATAATTCATGTTTGTGTATTTGGGTATGTGCAAAAAATGCTCACCTCTAAAAAGTATTTTCATGGTCATACTGAACTCTTGGATGGTCTAGGGAAACCAAAGGTGAAAGCGAATCCTTGTTCAGCCACGGGTTTGAGTTGAGCGTTTAACCTTCAACACCCATAAGCAAATGGCTTGAGCAAGGAAATTTCGGTTGTCACGCGTTGTGTATTTCTTAACGCTTTCACGCTTCAACAACTCAACCGATCATAATGAAATTTCGCACACTGGTGCCATTTAGCCCAACTTAAATTATAGGGTAGCTTTTATATACATTAGCCAAAGGGGCGTAGAACCTCCCATATAAACGGAATTTTTCACACAACCTATCCCTGGAGGTATTTGCGGTAGAGTACTGGATGTTAGATGTTGTGGAGATCTATGTATGAAATCAATACTATACTCATTTAGGTTCTTGGTTAATATTCATTTCAGTAGTGTTATTGAGCTCTGTACCACAATTTTTTTGTTAGGAAAAATACGCCACAACAAAATTTGAAAAATAGATAGTTTGGGATGAGCCTACACAAAACTATAAAATGGATCTATTTCATGTATGGAATAAACAAAAGCAAACACGCTGTCAAGTTTAAATAGCGGCAAATCAGCTGCACTTGATAGTGTTTGGTTGAATAAAGGGTTAGATTAGCAACAAGAGTTTACGGATTGTGCATAGCTCAGTGGTTAGCGCTCCCTGCTGAAGTCTAGTTGTTCATAAAAAAAACCAATCTTTGGAATAGTAAGTTAAAAACCACCCCTTGAGCTTATCATACATGAATGACTGAAGATTGTTATATAAAGGATACCTTTATAAAGTTGATACCTAGTGAAGTTCTTGGTAAAGCCCAATTGGCTTACAGACAAGCTTTAGTAAAACATACAATTTTCCAAATTATTGCCAATATTTCTAATATCAAAATTTATGTTTGCCCCTTATTGATTTTTTTTTACATACATACTTATGTACATATACAAATTTCCGTAAGCGGTGATAGTTTAGAACAATAACAATGTACGGCTCCATTAAGCCTAACTCTCATTTGAACTTAATTTACCAGTGATGGCCGCCTTCTCATCAGGGCTTCGCAGCGGAGTAGAGCAAAGCAGCAAGGAGCTAGGGTACAAAATATTTTACCTGGAGCGGAGCTGGAGCTAAGCGCCAAAAAAAGTCATTTGCTCCTTAGCTCCTTAATGTAATATTTTCAGTTAATAAATGTACTAATTTTTTTTTTAATTTTTGCCACCTAAAGCAACCGTGTTAAATAAATTTCGGCTTTATTTGTTTTACTAGGCAATACTGTTCATTGCACAATAGGGTGGTCCAAAAAAACATGCATTGAAAAAAGTTAAATATATTAAGCTTTCACTGCCTAGGATTTTTCTAAATGGAAAAAAGAATACCCGTATTTTTTTGTAAAAAAAAAATAGTTTTATAACTGCTCCAAAGCCCATAAAATTTTCTCATGTATTTTTATATGGGTAAAAACACTTATTCGTAGAAATGGCATAGAATTCTTGAGTATCAATATTTTTCTATCGTAAAATCTGTTTCTCTTTAGGAGAATTCCAATAACAATACCCAATTCTTTAATGAACCATTTGTAATATTAACTATTTTTATAAGTTGCCTTAAAAATATAATTACACTCTTGTAGCAGGGTGCATATGTACATATATAAATTTGTATTTATATCGAGCCATAAGCGCCAAAATAACGTAAGCGGTATTTTTTTTTTTTTAATTTCCTTTTGGATGTAGAAATGCTCCTTGAGCATCTGGATGCATTTCTGCATCAAAAGGAAGACATTTAAAAAAAAATATGCGTACTTTTTTTGCGGTTATGGCCCGATTTGTAAGTAAATAATGTAAGTAAAGTTTTTTATTGGGAGCGGAAGCGGAGTTAAGAGCGGATCGCGGAGCGAAATGAAAGCGGAGCACTGCTCCGATTCCTGCTCGCCTAAATGACTTTGTATAGTACAAAAAGCAATAGAGTATAATTGTTCGTAAGCCATAATCCGTCCATGCTAACATACATGCATTTTTCATCAGATCGTTATGATAAAAACGAAATGCATGCACCAGCTCAATATATGCCTGCTGCATTGTGCCATATGTGCATGACAACCTCGTAACAAACTTACTAAGGCATATAAGCTGGCATGAATAATGGCGTTTTCATTTCTACCCAAAAATTTTGCTACACACAACCACTAAGGAAAGAACGATGAGAAGGCAACAATTTTTGAAGAAAAGAAAACAACCTAAGATTCGCGTGTGGCTGAGAACGTACAGAGGATATTGTTTTTTGCTTTGTGGTAGTAAATAATCTTTCCAGAGAAGTTCCGAGTTGACTTAGGCACAGCCAACAGTGAATTTCCGTATACAATGGACTTTTATGCTGATAATTTTGGTGGAAATTTATATTCCCTGTATGCCTTTGTACCCTTTGTGGCGTTTCCAGCAACATCTCACCATACATACATACATATGCAAATACAGTTTTGATTGCCAAAGTTATCCGAACCTCATAAGTAATATACGAATAGAAAAAATAGGAAAATAGGATAATAGAAAAGGAGCTGGATGGAAAAATTTAAAATTTGTATCTCAAAGAGACCACAGTGTGCAAGTGATAGCATGAAAAACAAACGCAATTGAAGTCATTAATTCGAAATTATGATAAGGAGAAAGCTGTAAATATTTGCATTTGTTTTTTTTTTTTGGTATTTTTTCCTTTTCACTCATAAGAAGCCGCATAATGTAGATTTGATTGGGGTATATAGGACAAAGGAGGAAATCCATAAAAATATGGGTGTAACTGCAGGAAAGTTGATAGCACTGAGAAAGTTTAAGCACCAACAAATTGGCAAACAGTTCGATAGATGGACACCGAAAAAATGGAAGGTCAATCACGAGCAAACACACTTTTCCATAATTTTCAGACACAAAACAAAATGTAAATTCTTTTACGAAGGAACTCATTTTTTCACTCTTTTCTTTTCAGCGTGTGGTAAAATGGTGCCCAAAATCAACATGCCGCATAAGGCCCTCTCTATATATCATCAAAATCAGCTTAAAACACTGACGCAAGACAAATTGTTTTAATAATGGCACAAAGATATCCAATAACGGGATTAAAATCAACCTGCCCACAAGATGCTTAAATGTCAGCAAATACGAGTAACAGCTTAGTAGAGATTGTTTATGTAAATCATGCCGAAAGAAAGAGCAACAAAGCAGAAAAATCAAGCACAAAAAGCCTACACAAGCCTACAAAAAAAACGATAAATCTAAGTATATGTTAAGCAAGCAAAACCCAAAATCCATAGCCTAAAAACGTGGTGGTAGTTATGTATGTAGGTGGTAAAATGCTTGATTCACATATTCCAGCGGCGGCTATTGCCATAGAGGCAACGGGTGTTGTTGAAAGCCTGCAGCCCTACAACTTGGGTTTCCATAGTGGATTCGAGGGAAGCGGCAGCGGCGGCGACGGCGGCAGCAATATTCAACCCACTGCTATTGACAGCTTTGTGGAGGATATGCGAAACAATTATTCGCAACTTATCGGCAGGACATCAGCGTTGGATTTGTGCAATCAATCGCTGCTGCTCTACGGTGTGAACAATTGCAGTAGTGCGAGTAAAGGCAGCAATGTCAACAGTACAATGTTGTAAGTATGATATGCGAAAATACCCAGTGGGAATTNAAGGCAGCAATGTCAACAGTACAATGTTGTAAGTATGATATGCGAAAATATTGCCTTTCATGTATTACTTTATTTGTGTGCGTGTAAATGTGTTGTGTTACATGATCACTTCAATTTATTTAATTATTTTATAAATTTAATTTTTACGTAAATTTTTCAAACGTCGAAATATGTAGACTGGCTGTCCTTCCGAAACTTGTTCTTTGACCTAGAATACGTCTTACGTTTCGATATGGAGGCTATGCTCAAATGTCGTAGCTGTAATTTTTAGAGCTTCACGAATTTCAGCGATTTCAAAGAAATGTGTGGCGTTTCAAAGATAAAATTCCAAACCTGTAGAAAGATTCGTTTTCTGTCGTAGAAACAACGGGAAATATTGGCTTAATTTGGGGTCAATTTTGAGTTTTTAACATGCTCTAGCAGCTTATGATTAGCAGATATAACTTTAATTTTCGGGATATAGGTTCTTTAGAGCAGTTGAAATATCATCGCTTACAAATTTTATATAAACTCAACAAATATTGAGCATTTTAAGGCAAAAATTTTTTAACGCCAAAATGCTCGAAAATCGCTTAAACGACTTTGTTTTTGTTTTCTTTAGTCAAAAATTCAAGTTTTTTCCTATCGTTTGGTATATGGGAAGTATTGGTTGTTATCTTCTAAGTATGTTTTTGATTCAAATATATTGGCATAAATTATTTCCCATACAAAATCACTTCATCATCATTCCGCAAACACGTCCTTGCGCTGGAAGTGAGAGAAGGATACAAAAATTATGTGTTTTTGTAGGTATTTCGTTTTGAGTAACAGATGGCGCAATAACGACACAATCCAAAATTCAAAAAATTAAAACTCAGAAAAATTCAAAAACATAAAATCTATGCCCGAAGAAGTTTAATAAATTAATTTTTAAGGGGCATACAAAAAATGTGTGTGCATTAGGGTGGTCCAAAAAAAAGTAAAGTCGAAAATTTAATGCTCTCACCCCTAGGATTGTTCTATACCGAAAAAAATATA